TTAAACTCAGAGTTTTATATGGAGGAATTTGTTAAAGTTGCAAATATTTTATAATAGAGATTACAACTTTCAGTTATGTGTGATTTGAAAAAACATATATTCACATGGTAAACTTTAGGGGGAAAATGGTATAAATAGTGCAATATGCTATTGATTTTAGGGTTTTTAAGTAATTAAACTATTTTTAATCAAAATTTTAATCAGAATTTTAATCAAAAACTATTTTGATTAAAAATAGTTTAATTACTTAAACCGGACCTCGTGATCCTCCCACCTTGGCCTCCCAAAGTGCTGGGATTACAGGCATGAGCCCATACCTGGCCCTTCATAGACTTTTTTACATGCAGTAGGGACTTTCTTCAGATAAATTTATTTTAAAATTAAAAGTAGTATTTGTCATCTTTGTTCTCCACCAGCTGGATGGAGACAAAGGAGTGACACGCATATACAGGGTCAATATTTAACTGTTTAAAAAGAGAAAGATAAAACTTGGCTGTTCCCTTAGCACCCAGTAATCATTCACCTTTAATGCAGGTAATTTCAGTGCTTAGGGTGAACTCTTATGTTTGCTGATGCTGCTTTAAAGATAATCATGCCAGGAAAACTAGAAAAGCTCACAAAAGTGCCCCTCATTTTTGATGCGATCATATGTGACCTCACTAAGTCTTGACTTCCAGATAAGTAATAGTAAGAATACAAAACCTGCTTCTCACAGCTGTTGTGAGGACTAAACAGGATGATACCTGTAAAGCCCATAACACATGACATGACACAGCAAGAATTTATTTTTCCACCATTTATTCCAGAATCATCAGAGTATTAATTCAGAACTCAGTTTTTTTAACCTTCATAAACTTTTTTTAAATTTTGAGATGGAGTTTTGCACTTGTTGCCCAGGCTGGAGTGTAGTGGCGCAATCTCAGCTCACTGCAACCTCCGCCTCCTGGGTTCAAGCAATTCTCACGCCTCAGCCTCCTGAGTAGCTGGGGTTACAGGCATTTACCAACACACCCAGCCAATTTTTATATTTTTAGTAGAGATGGAGTTTCACCATGTTGGCCAGGCTCGTCTTGAACTCCTGACCTTAGGTGATCCATCTGCCTCGGCCTCCCAAAGTGCTGGGATTACAGACATGAGCCACCGCTCCCTGCCCTTCATAGACTTTTTTTTTTTTTTTTTGAAATGGAGTCTCGCACTGTCTCCAGGGCTGGAGTGCAATGGCACAATCTTGGCTCATTGCAACCTCTGCCTCCTGGGTTCAAGCAATCCCCCTGCTTCAGTCTACCAAGTAGCTGAAATTACAGGTGCCCACCACCACACCCAGCCAATTTTTTGTATTTTTAGTAGAGACGGGGTTTCACTGTGTTGGCCAGGCTGGTCTCAAACTCCAGACCTCGTGATCCTCTCACCTTGGCCTCCCAAAGTGCTGGGATTACAGGCATGAGCCACCATACCTGGCCCTTCATAGACTTTTTTACATGCAATAGGGACTTTCTTCAGATAAATTTATTTTAAAATTAAAAGTAGTATTTGTCATCTTTGTTCTCCACCAGCTGGATGGAGACAAAGGAGTGATACGCATATACTTTGAGCTTCTTCCTGTGCAGTGACATTCCTAAAACTCTCTCCCTCAACCCAACTCTTCGACCTCCTGCCCCTCCATTCAGGCTGTCCTATGTAACTGCAATGGGGGACCTTCTCTGTGCCAGGAACACTCTAGGCTTTAAAATCACAGCACTGAGAGCCACTGCCAGGGACTGTAGTGAGCTTGCAGTTTAGGGGAGAGCCAGGTGTGGCCACCAGCACAGAGTGTGAATGAGCTTCACAGGCTTGGGGTTTCAAGAACCATGCATCCCTTGTCTTCTAAATCCTTGAGTCTGAATCTCCCTCATCGGGGCAGAGACCACCAATGTTAATTATTGGGAGAAAGAACCCTCTACTTCTCTAGGGTCACACTGGAGTCCTTGGCGCTTATCGAGTTAGAAAATGCAGGGGTGGGGCCCCTGAACTGCAGCCTGGGCCCCCTAAGCAGCTCCTCTTCCACACCTGCAGGACCCTTCTCTAAGGTGGGAGCCCACTCCCTGAGATAGGCTGAGGCTTGGCCTGACCTCCCTAGGCTCAAACACAGGCATCTCCTGCCCACCCGGGACACTCTGGCTCAGGTAGTTCAGGTCCCCTCTCACTCAAACCCACCAGCAGTTTACTCCCTGGTGGGAGTTAGGGTGGGACAGGATTATGGCAAGATGTATGCATGGACTGGGGCCTTTCAAAACACACTGCTGCCCTCCCCTTCCTGAGTGGGGATGGGAAAGAAGAAACATTCCTTCAGTCAACAAATATTTACTAAGCACCTACTGTGTCTAGAGGTTTCAGCACTGAATAAAATATCCACAAATTCTTGCCCTCAGAGGAATTTACATTTTAAATGGGACAGCTTGGACAAATAACATGATAAATAAGAAAAATGTCTAGTATTTTAAATGATGATGAGAGCTGAGGGGAAATAATGCAGAGAAGAGAGATGATGCTTAGCAGGGGTGAGGAATGCAGGTTGCCATTGAGATAAAGTGAAAAAGGAAGCTGAGAGCTGAGAAAAGACCTGCAGGGAGGCAGATGGAAGAATATTCCAGGCCGAGAGACCAGCCAGCGTGCAGCCCTTGAGACAGGAACATCCTGGCATGGGCCAGATGACCCCAAGGTGACCAGTGATGCTCTGCAGAGAGAGCAGTGGATAAGAGTAAGATCAGCAACGAAGAGCAGATTTCGGTTAGGTTTGGTAGGCATGTACCTTGGGGAGCCTTATTCTGGTGAGCAAATGGGGGGCTTGAACACAGGGGAGACAGGATCCACAAGGTTGAAGAGGAGCACTCTGGCTGCTGTGGGGAATTTGCTGAAGCAGGTAGGGTTAGGGAGACCAGGGAGAAGACGACTGTGCATGTCTGATGAGAGGACAGCAGCGGGACCAGAACTACAGCAGTGGAGGTGCTGAGAAGCAGTCAGGTCCGAAATGCATTTCAAATATAAGGGCCAGGTGCAGTGGCTCACACCTATAATCCCAGCACTTTGTGAGACTGAGGCGGGCAGATCATTTGAGGTCAGGAATTCAAAACCAGCCAGACCAACATGGTCAAACCCCATCTCTACAAAAAATACAAAAATTAGCCGGGCATGATGGTGTGCACCTATAGTCCTAGCTACATGAATGGCTGAGGCAGGAGAATCACTTGTACCCAGGAGGTAGAGGTTGCAGTGAGCCGAGATTGCACCACTGCACTCCAGTGGGTGGCAGAGTGAGACTGTCAAAACAAAAACAAAAAAAAAAAACAAAAAAATGTCAAACCAAGATCCAGTACTCGTTCCCCAAATCTACTGCTTCCCCTGCCTTCAGCTTCCAGCAGCAGCCACCAGCCTTCGATGGCAATGTAGTGTCTTCATGTAGCTTTCCTGTTTACACTACTTCTTTTTTATTAAATGGTGTTCAGTTTTAAAAAAAAAAAACAAATAAACCAAGCTAATTCACTGATGAATCAAATTTGGGATGTGAGAGGAAGAGGAAAAAAAAAAGGAAGACTCTGCAGTTTGGGGCCTGAGCAGCTAGGAGAATGGAGAACACCACTTCCTGATTGAGGAAAGCTCGGCCAAGAGCAAGTTTGAGGCAAAGCTTAAGAGTCTAGCCTGGACCCATCAGTGCCTTTCTTGTATCCCTGTGGAGATGCCCAATGACCTGAATGTTCAAGTCCAAGGCACTCAAGAAAGAGCTCTGCCTGGAGCTCTGACTCTGTTTGGGAGTCATTAACATATAAACTATGTTTAAAGTCATAAAGCTAAAGAAATTACCTAGGGGAAGGGAGAGATGGAGGCACCAGCAAAGTAGACTGAGAAGGAGTGGCCAGAAAGGCAGGGATTACCAGGAGCCTACAGGAAGGAGGACATCCTCACCTGTGCCCCAGCCAGAGCAGGCGAGGCCTGTCTGAGAGGGACCCTTGGACCCAGCAAGGTGGAGGTCATTTGGAAGCCAAGAGCAGGCATCTCTGGAAAACAGGGGAGGGGGTCACCTGTTCACAGGGGTTGCAAGGCAGTGGGAGAAGAGAAAACAGACTGGGAGCACAGATGAGTCTTCAGAGACTTTTGCTTTAAGGTAAAAAGAGGCAGGGTGTAATAACTACAGGAAGGGCATACAAATGGGCTTTTTGTTTTTCTGAAGTGTAGGATAAATAGCAAGTTTGTAAGGCCAAGAGGGAAGCTCCAATAGGGAAGGGGGGAGTAGTGGTGCCAGGGAGAGGGAGAGAATTGCTGGAGCAAGTCCCTGCGTCTGAGGAAGCCATCAGAACATAGTGGGAAGAGGGAGGATTGACCATACCTGAGAGCATCAGAGCCACAGATGGCCATGGCCGTGGCACCCAGGGTGTCCTGTCTGGAGCATTTGTTTTCTCTGGAAGTAAGGGCTCCCTCGACTGTGGTTAGCTTTTTATCTTAATTCCCTCTGTCAGATATACAGCTATAAGACACTAAGATAACTGTTTTACAAGGCACAGTGGTTACTTCAAAGGACTCCCTAAACCCCGATGGGCCAGGATCTTCCAAAAAAATTCGACATGGTGGGAGAGGTGCTTGTTCCTGGAGCTTCCCATGGCACTGTCACCTCCTCCGTTCCTGCCCTGCAGCGCAGGCCTTGATCAGCAGCTCTGGCTTCCATACCTCTCTCCCACGGAAGTGGGAAATATCAGGAGTTTAAAAAAAGAACTGTTACACTGCACAGGATTCCATATGACAGGATACTGTTGAAAGTGTGCTGGCCAGAGAGAAGGGAGCAAGGAAGAGGAAGCAGATGGCATGAAAAGAAAAGAAGGGGGCAGCCCCCTTCACTGAACCACAAATACCCAGAAGGCCAGACCTTGGCCCAGCTCTCTAGCCCGGACCCCAGCACCTGGCTGGCACAGTGCTGGTGTCCATAAACTTTGCTGGACTGAGCCAAACTTGTACCCTGTATCAGAGAGCTGCATCAGAGGCAGGTCTATATCCAAGGGGACTTTTCTGTCCCCACCTTTCTGACATTGCTGTCCACTCCCCTTTTCAGACTTCCTTCTCTCCCAGCTCTGTCCCATCCTCTTGCTTTCATTCTGCCTCTCTGGCTGCCTCAGTGCTATGCCGTTCACTGAGTCTCTTCTCCAGTCACCCCTTAAGGCCAGCATTCAGAGGGCCCTGTCCTCGCCCTTCCATCTGGCATGCTTGTTCTCCCCTGCAAGCTTGGTTGCCAGTTTGCTATTGCTGACTCCCAAGTCTTTCCAGTCTAAACCCACTGCTGAACTCCACACCAGCACGTCGTACTCCTTACTGTACAGCCCACGCCAGCAGCTCAAGGACACCTTGGACTCAACCTGTCCTCCCTGAACTCAAGTTCTTTCCTCCTCACATGTGCTCCTCCTCTGATGTGCCCCACCCCAGTGCAGGGCATCACCCTCCACCCATCAGCCAAACCAGAGAATGGTTGGCACGCTGAACTTCTCCCTGCCTTTACACCCCACCTCCGAACTGTCTTCCCACACAGCTCAGATTCATTCCAAATGGCCTATCTTTTATGAACCAATCACTCCTCACCTGGTCAGTGTAAAACGCACAGAATTTCTTGGACTCTGGCTCCATCTTAGAGCAGCTCATCTCTTCCCTCTGCACTGCTGCTGGAGTCAGCTTCCTATAACCCTAATGTGACCCTCTCACTTTACCTGGCCAGGACTCCCTTCCCCAAGCCAGCCTCTGCCTCCGTCTGCCTTCCTTCACATAGGAGATCCCTATGTGACTTCCAGAGACTCCTGGAGACAAGGGAAGGCGTGCCCTGATTCTGTGGGAGGCCCGGAAGGAGCTGGTGCAGGCTGTGTGTGTCACAGTATTGGGTGACAACAGGAGCAGCTCACCAGTCTTGTTCTGAGGAAGAGGCTGAAGATGGAGGGATACATTCCCCATCTATTTACTCACCAGCTGTGCCTTGGTTCAAGGCAAATTTTATGTAGAATATAAAATGCTATTACAGGATAAGTGTCATAAGGTTTTATTCAAGATTTCCAATGTCGTAACTTTTAATTTTATAATAACAGATATTTTAAATATTTTAATCAACTGAATAACATAATAACATATAACTGTAATGTGTTATATATTTTGTCATCACATATAATTACATAACAAATTTGTCAATTGAACAGAATAAAGAATCCAGAAATAGATCTACACATATTTGGCAAATTGATTTTGACAAAGGTGTGAAGGCAATTCAATGGCAAAGTAAGTGTCTCTTTATTTTAATTGCATTTTAGGTTTGAGGGTACATGTGAAGAACATGCAAGATTGTTGCATAGGTACACACATGGCAGTGTGATTTGCTGCCTTCCTCCCCATCACCTATGTCTGGCATTTCTCCCCATGCTATCTCTCCCTAACTATCCACCCCCTGCTGTCCCTCCCCTATTTCTCCCCAACAGACCCCAGTGTGTGATGCTCCCCTCCCTGTGTCCATGTGTTCTCATTGTTCAACACCCACCTATGAGTGAGAACATGTGGTGTTTGATTTTCTGTTCTTGTGTCAGTTTGCTGAGAATGATGGTTCATCCATGTCCCTACAAAGGACATGAACTCATCATTTTTTATGGCTGCATAGTATTCCATGGTGTATATGTGCCACATTTTCCCTGTCCAGTTTATCGTCGATGGGCATTTGGGTTGGTTCCAGGTCTTTGCTGTTGTAAACAGTGCTGCAATGAACATTTGTGTGCATGTGTCCTTATAGTAGAATGATTTATAATCCTTTGGATATATACCCAGCAATGGGATTGCTGGGTCAAATGGAATTTCTATTTCTAGGTCCTTGAGGAATCGCCACACTGTCTTCCACAATAGTTGAACTAATTTACACTCCCACCAACAGTGTAAAAGTGTTCCTATTTCTCCACATCCTCTCCAGTCTCTGTTGTCTCCAGATTTTTTAATGGTCGCCATTCTAACTGGCATGAGATGGTATCTCAAAGTAAGAGTCTTTTTTAACAAATGATACCAGAATAATTGGATAGACGTATGCAAAAAAAAAAAAGGAAAAAAACCTTTTTGTTGTTGTTTTGTTTTGAGATGGAGTTTATCTCTTGTTGGCCAGGCTGAAGTGCAGTGGTATGAATTTGGCTCACAGCAAACTTCACCTCCCAGGTCCAAACAATTCTCCTGTCTCAGCCTCCCAACTAGCTGGGATTACAGGTGCATGCCACCACACCTAGCTAACCAAAAAGTTTGATCCATACCTCACATTTATTTATTTATTTATTTTTATTCAAAGCATTCACTCATTTATTCAGAATATGTAAATAAAGAAGTACAATGTGTCAGGTATTGTTTTAAAGAAGGAAGACACTGTCCTTGCCTATCCCCATCCCGGGATTGTGAAACATAAACAAATTGGTACAAAGTATTATCAGATATGTGTAGGGGAATAAGAGTACCAAGAAAGAAGCCATGAGTGTTAGGGGCGTTTGTGGGGCTAGGGATACAAGAAGTGTTTCCTATAGGAGATAATGTTAATATGTGTTTAGTCTACTGTGTATTCTTAATCTGTATTTGTAAAACAATGGGCCGCATAATGATATCTGACTTGTACTCAATATTTTTGGGGGGCAATAGTAGTTTTTATGCCGGCAAATTGAAATTATGTAAGAACTTTGGGACCCCTTAAGTTTTCCTGGGTCCTACTTACTTTGTAAATTTTATTTTATTTATTTATTTATTTATTTCGAGATGGAGGCTCACTCGGTCACCCAGGTTGGAGTGCAATGGCATGATCTTGGCTCACTGCAACCTCCACCTCCCGGATTCAAGCAATTCTCCTACCTCAGCCTCCCAAGTAGATGGGACTACAGGCGCATGCCACCGTGCCCTGCTAACTTTTTGTATTTTTAGTAGAAACAGAGTTTCACCACGTCAGCCAGCATCATCTCAATCTCCTGACCTTGTCATCCGCCTGCCCTGGCCTCCCAAAGTGCTGGGATTACAGGCGTGAGGCACCTCGCCGGGGCTACTTTGTAAATTTTAGCACTTCATAGTGCTAAAATATATGTTTTCTCTGAGTGTTGAGACACACTAAGGAACACACACTGTTGTTTTTGCACAGACTGGTTGCAACATCTTTAGAATGTGTTTACCAAATTAAGAGACTAAAACACAAAACGCTACTGTTCAAAATTGGCTTTTTATTAGATCTGCTACTTTGCTTCAAACTTTAAACTGTACCCAGATAATGCAAGATACAGAGAAGTACCAGTTGCAGAGAACCTTCTGTGTTGATTGCCTTTTGGGAATTTTAACATTTGCATGTACTTCCCAGTGTGGAAGCATGGATTCAAGGGTGGACTCCAGGAGATACAGGGGCCTATCTAACTGTAATCACATGATTATGATGAACAAAATTACAGCTGAATTAAATTTTGAAGGCTGTCCTTGAGGATATGCATAGAAAGTTGTGTGTTACCTAATAGATAATTTGTGAGCCTGAAGTCATTCAAAAGCCAGAGAAGAAATATTCAGGCTAAAGCAAAACTTGCTACTTGGTTAGAACAAAGAGATTGCACTTCGTGTTGGGAAGCTAAATCCTAGGAAAGAAAAAATAAATACTCCATAGATTGCAAGTCTCAGAGAATTTTACTTTTAAGATGAGTAAGATCGAGGCACCACATGAACAAGGACCTTCCTAGAGAACTGAAAAGAAGCCTCAAGTATTGCTATTGCTATAGCGTACAGGCATCAGAGTGGATGTTTTAGTGAGTAGGTTGAGATCAGGTGGCCTACATGAGCTCTGGGAAAGAACCAAAACAGCATAGGAATAGAGGGTAAATGTGTGAGTGGTGCTATGACTGAGTGGCTGAGTTCAAGATAATTTACAGAGATTTGGTCCTAGATGCTGTTATACTGGGCACCCACCCAGCCTTTTTAAAAAGATAAAATAGGCTGGGTGAGGCGGTTCACACCTGTTTTCCCAGCACTTTGGGTGGCCGAGGTGGGAAGATCTCTTGAGGCCAGGAGTTCGAGACTGGCCTGGGCAATATAGTAAGACCCTGGTCTCTTTAAAAAAAGAACATCAAAGCCTAAAAAGTACAAAAGAGGTCTTTCAGGTTGTAGAGATAAGGCATGGTCCGTCTCCCCCTTGGTGGAAGAGTGAATGAAAATACCTGCCACTTCATTTTGCTGCTGTTTAGAAAGACTCCTGGCTGGGCACAGTGGCTCACACCTGTTACCCCAACACTTTGGGAGGTTGAGGTAGGTGGATCACTTAAGTCTGGCCAACATGGTGAAACCCCATGTCTACTAAAAATACAATAAATTAGCTGGGCATGGTGGAACACACCTGCAATCCCAGCTACTTGTGAAGCAGAGGCACAAGAATCACCTGAACCCAGGAGGCAGAGGCTGCAGTGAGCTGAGATCAGGCCACCGCACTCCAGCTTGGGTGAGAGTGAGACTCCATCTCAAAAAAAAAAAAAAGGATGCTATAATCCCAGCACTTTGGGAGGCCGAGGTAGGTGCATCACCTGAGCAGCCTGATCAACATGGTGAAACCCCGTCTAAATACAAAAAATAATACAAATAATTTTTTGTACTAAACACAAAAAATTAGCTGGGTATAGTGGTGCCTGCCTGTAATCCCAGCTACTTGGGAGGCTGAGGCAGGAGAATCACTTGAACCCAGAAGGCGGAGGTTGCGGTGAGCCGAGATTGCACCATTGTACTCCAGCCTGGACAACAAGAGGAAACTCTAAAAAAAAAAAAAAAAAAAAAAAAAAAAAAAAAAAAAAAAAAAAGAAGAAGTAAAGACTCCTCTCACATCAGATTTAAAAATTCATTCAAGATGGATCATAAATATACATGAAAAACCTAAAACCTAATAAAACTACAAGAAAGCATAGAAGAGATTTATGAGCTTGGATTGGCAATTTCTTAACACACCAAAAATACAATACATAAAAGAAAAAATTAATAAATTGAACTTCATCGAAACTAAGAACTTCTCTTCCTTGAAAAACACAAGAGAATGAAAAGGCAAGGCACAGAGAAAATATTTGCGAATCACATATCTCATACAGGACTGGTAAAGGGAAAATATAAAGAACTCTCAAAACTTAATAATAAGAAAACTCAATTAAAAAGAGGGAAAACACTTGATCAGATATTCCATCAAAGAAGATTTATAGATGATAAATAAGCACAAGAAAAGATGTTCAATATCATTAGCTGTTAGGGCAATGCAAATTAAAAACAATGAGGGCTGGACAAAGTAGGTCACGCCTGTAATCCCAACACTTTGGGAGGCTGAGGTGGGAGGATCACTTGAGACCAGAGTTCAAGATTAGTCTGGGCAGTATAGTGAGACTCCATCTCCACACACACACACACACAAAGAAAGAAAAAAAAACCACAATGAGATACCACCACACATCTATTAAATGACTAAAGTGAAAACAATTGCTCGTAATCAGTGTTGGTAAGGATATGAAGAAAATGGCTCTCATGTGAGGCTGTTGGAAATGTAAATTGGTATAATCACTTTGGAAAACAGTTCTTCAAATAGTTAAACATGCACTCGCCATATGGCCCAGCCATTCTACTTATAGGAATGAATGCAAAAGAAATGAAAGCATAGTCCGAGCTCAGTGGCTCACGCCTGTAATCCCAGCACTTTGTGAGGCCAAGGCGGTTGGATCACGAGGTCAGGAGCTCAAGACCAGTCTGGCCACCATGGTGAAACCCTGTCTCTATTAAATATACAAAAATATTAGCCAGGTGTGGTGGCAGTCACCTATAATCCTAGCTACTTAGGAGGCTGAGGCAGAAAAATTGCTTGAACCTGGGAGGCGGAGCCGAGATCACACCACTGCACACCAGCCTGGGTGATAGAGCAAGACTCCGTCTCAAAAAAAAAAAAAAAAAAAAAAATGAAGGCATATGTATGTCCCCACAAAGATTTGTATACAAATATTCATAGCAGCATTATTTGTATTAGCCCAAAACTGAAAACAACCCAAATGTCCATCGTGGAGGTTTTAAAATATGTCCACAAGTTCTTTGATACTTCTTCCTTCAAGAGGTGGGTATCATTCCTCTTCCTCTGTATGCAGACTGGACTTAGTAGTTTCTGTCTACTGAACAGAATATGGTAGAAGAAGAGGTATGCAACTTCTGAGACTAGGTCAAAAAAGGCATTGTGACTGCCTTATTGTTCCTTCTTGTGTCACTCACTCTGGAGAAGCCAGCTGCCATGTCCTGAAGACACTCAAGCAGCCCAGCCCAGGGGAGAGGTCACTGTGGTGAGGAACTAAGTCCTCTCCCAAGAACCATGTGATTGCAGCATCTTGGAAGGACACCCAAGTCAAGCCTTCTGATGACTGTAACCCACAATGACATCTTTTTTTTGTTTGTTTTTTAGACAGAGTCTTACTCTGTCACCCAGGCTGGAGTACAGTGGTGCGATCTCAGCTCACTGCAACCCCTGCTTCTTAGGTTCAAGCGATTCTCCTGCCTCAGCCTCCCAAGTAGGCTGGGATTACAGGCATGCGTCACCATATCTGACTAATTTTTATATTTTTGGTAAAGACGGAGTTTCATCATGTCAGCCAGGCTGGTCTCGAACTCCTGACCCTATCCACCTGCCTCAGCCTCCCAAAGTGCTGGAAGTAGAGGCATGAGCCACTGCAACCGGCCTCTTAACGTTTTAACATCTCTGAATTTAGCATGCATCTTATAATTATGGTGGACAGCTTTCTTTCTTTCTTTTTTTTTGACAGGACATTTTAAATGATGTATCTTATTACTTTTGCCAAAAAAACTGTACATCTTTTATTCAGTGACATCCTAGATTCAATGAAATATGGTAAGTTTTGAAATCTAGGTAAGAAGAACAATTTTGTAGTTGAAAATAAATTCCTAAAATTGTCCTGAAAAAATGGCAGAAAACCTGATTGAGTCAGTAAGTATAGAAGACACTGGAAAGTTTTTTAAAAACTAGCCTCCACAAAAGGGCTCCAACCTTAGTGGATTTGCAGGCAAGGACAATTCAACATCACTGTAGATTTAAAGTTTGAACAAATGGACAAATATACTATGCTACTGAATGGGAAGACTTCATCTTGCAAAGATGTATATTTCTCCTCAGATGAAATAAATAAATGTAATGTGATGCCAGTCAGAATCTCAATTCTTTTCTCTTTATGCCTGGCACATAGTAGGCACTCCATAAATATCTGCTGAGTGATTAGATGATTTGCCAGAAACTTTTTTAAAAGATTATTTTTTAACATTATAATTTATTGCAAATCTACAATAATTAACACAGTATGATGCCGGTGCAAGAATAGACAAGCCACTCAATACAACAGAATAAAGTCCAGAAATAAACTCAAGTATATATAAAATGTATATGATGAAAGTAGCATTTCAAATCTGTAAAGACATGATGAATTTTTTAAAAAAATAAGGTTGGGACAATTGGACAAACTTTTGGGAAAAGTTTGCCTCTGTTTTTAGCTCTAAATAAATTAAAAGTGAAATATAAAAAGTCAGTGTCTGAAATTTATAAAAGAAAATATGAACCACTGTGTAACAAGTCTTAGCAGTGGAGTGAGCCTTTCTAAGGACATTAAAGCAGAAGCTGGCTGGGCTCAGTGGCTCACACCTGTAATCCCAGCACTTTGGGAGGCTAATGTGGGCAGATCACTTGAGGTCAGGAGTTCAAGACCAGCCTGACCAACATGGTGAGACCTCATTTCTACTAAAAATACAAAAATTAGTCAAGCGTGGTGGGGTGTGCCTGTAATCCCAGTTACTTGGGAGGCTGAGGCAGGAGAATCACTTGAAACCAGGAGGCAGAGGTTGCTGTGAGCCAAGATCACGCCATTGCACTCTCGTCCAGCCTGGGCAAAAGAACAAGACTGTGT